GCCTTGGAATCAGGAAGAGTCATCTTTATGAATTCAAATCTGCTTCAGACACTTCCTAGCTGTGTGACCCTGGGCAAGTCACTCAACCCTATTTGCCTCAGTTTCCTCATCTGTAAATTGATCTGGAGAAGGAAATGGCAAACCACTCCAGTATCTCTGCCAAGAAAACCCCAAAATGGGGTCACAAAGAGTCAGACACAACTAAAAAACAACCAAACAACAATAGATTCTTCAACTTGTGCTGTGCTGATGCCAAAAGTTTATACTAGAGATAAGTTTTCTCTTAACAGAGAGAAAAGACCTAGTTCCCCAAAGGCCAAAAACCATTGTCATACTTCATTCTAATTACTTTCAGTGCATTATGGCTACCTAATCCCTGGTGTTTTTGAATGGCGGGCAAGAAGCCTCAGCTGTTGGCTACATTATCTGCTCCCCAGGAACCCATATACCACTGAGAACAATTTTGGTGACTGTGGTCTCCAGATGCTGACTGTAAGCTGTTGTTGCAGCCCAGGGCAAACAGGTGAAGTACAGAGACTGGGTGGCACCAGCTGTATCTCTTTCTGGGACTAGGGACAAGTCAAACCTAAAAATAGCCCCCCAGGTTATTGCCAGGAGACCAAATGGCTAGAACAGAACCCACACCGGGAAATATGGGACTGTAGTATATATACTGAAATCTTAGTGCTACAGTCATTGATATACCTACAGATCACCAGCCCCTATGTTGCATGTAGATCTATCATGGACGTTCATGTTTTACAGTCAACAATAAGAGGACTCTGACTTCTTTCCCTCTCAGGCTTAAAACTTACATTTATATCACTAACAAGAGCAAACCTAGATTGTAAAACGAGCACATGATGTATGCAGTTAACAGAATGCAGTATGTCTTATTAAAAGTCATAGTACTTTCATAGTCATGTTTGGTCATATTCTTTATGAAGCACAGGCTTTTCCTGGCCATTCAGACATATTGTTTGGTATTTGTTTGGACCAATCACCAACCAATCCTAAATGCTGTGATCCTCAAGTATTGGTGGGAACTCAGGATATGCTCCTCCACTAGGCTGAGGAAACAGACATCAAATCTTAGACCAAGAGCTCTCCTTTGATGGTCTCTTGTGCTGGGAGGCAGCGTACTACAGGACATGATCCCCCAACACTTGGCACCATATTGACTTTGGTATTGTTAATCTCCCTTGTTCTGCCAGTGTGGTTTATGTAATTGGATGAGTATCAAAATCCACCTCTAGCTAGCTGTGTCCTGTGGTCAGAGAAGTCACCACACTGCCGTCAGCTGCTGATTCCCTTTCATTTCTGCTGACCCTGATCTCACTTCTTAGACAGCCTAACTACTGGAGAAGCAAGATAGATATGAGTCATGATATAGGTTGGGTGATTCCGTAAAGGTTTTTGAAGATAAGTATTTAGTCTCACTGACCCTTACACCATCTTGAGGAATTGTTTTATGTGGTATAAAAAGAGCCCTTGAACTTGGGGTTAGAAGTCCTGGGTACTTATACAGGCTGTCTTCAAAGAGTTCTTATGAGAATCACATGAGATAATATATGTGAAAACAATTTTTACCTGTAAAGGGCTATGTCAATGTACATTACTATAATTATTGAGGGAAAGGTCCTTGACACAATGAACTAAAATAAATCCTCTCAGCTCTTCCCGTAGTCTCCCACAGCATTCATGAAATAACTGTTTTGGAGCCTCTACTGTGTACAAGACAGCAAGAAACAGCAGCTCAGGGGGCAGCTAGGTGGCGCAGTGGATAAAGCTCTGGCCCTGGAGTCAGGAGGACCTGAGTTCAATATGGCTTTAGACACTAGCTGTGTGACCCTGGGCAAGTCACTTAACCTTAATTGCCTCACCAAAAAGCAAAAAAAGAAGAAAGAAACAGCAGCTCAATTTGCAAAGCACTTCCCATACATTATATCATTTGAGTCGCACAACAACCTCTTGAGGTAGAAACTACAGGCATTATTGCCACCATTTTTTTAAAATTTATTTTTATTTATTTATTTATTGGTGAGGCAGTTGGGGTTAAGTGATTTGCCCAGAGTCACACAACTAGTGAGTGTTATGTGTCTGAGGCCAAATTTGAACTCAGGTCCTCCCGACTCCAGGGCCAGGGCTCTATCCACTGTGCCATTGCCACCATTTTAAAACTGCCATCAGTTGCTGATTCCCTTTCATTTCTGCTGACTCTGATCTCGCTTCTTAGACAGCCTTAGACAGAAACTGAGGCTGAGAGAAATTAAGTAACTTGCCCATGATTACACAGCCTTTCAGTGTCAGAGGTGTGATTTTAACTCAGGTCTTCCTGAGTCCGAGACTCTCTTCACTATGTTACACTGCTTTTCATTCTCTTCCCAAGAATATCCCAGAGAAACATGGGATCAAGGGGCTCCAGCCCTAGCCATTAAGCTATTCACTCAGCTATTAAGGCTACAGAACTAGAGTAAGATTCCTTCACAACTAGTGGATGGTCCTTCCCCAGAGACCCAGGGAAATCTCAACCAACGAGCACATCCATCCTCGCTGTAGCTTCTCCCTAGTTCTTTGCTGAGAGCATCCAGCTCTCACCAGTCCCCACCCCTTGATTTTTTGCTTGCCTGCTGCTGTAAATAATTTATCTGCATTGTGAGCAGGTGTTCAACAGAAAATGGGTGTGTAACACACACACTCCACTGCCTACATAAACACGTTTCTCTCTCTTACTGTCAAACAGACACTTTAAGACAGACTTTTACTTGGCTCAAATCCTCTTGTCCAAGCTGTCCATCTCTTTCTCCTCTCTCTCATGTTCCTCTTCCTTGGCCTCCTCCCTCACCTTTGTGTTCTTCCTAAAAGGATACTGAATGTCTAACATTCATATTCTCTTCCCCTTACCCCAGTGTCTGATTCCTAGTAATCTCCTCCTACGCAAGGAAACGAGGGACTCCAGATCTATCTCCCAGCCAGAGAAATAGTCATGAAATCTCTGAGGACCTCACCATCCACTGGACTTCACTAGCCCGAGGCTGTTACTAAGCAGATGGGAATCTTTTTTGACCAATCACTAATTACTACCACTTGTCCTGCAACTAAGCTTGTGGTTTTTTTTTTTAATTTCCCAAAGCACCCCAGGCACAAATCACTGTGATTTAAAAACAACAACATTTAATCAAGGTACTTTTTATGAACATTTCTAATTTGTTCATACCAAAAGTTGCAAGTAAGTTAGTCTCATTAGTGGAATCCAATTCTGTTGCATCCTCAGTTTCCCCTCAAAATCAAAACTATATTAGTTCTAAAAGTAGCTTGTTTAATTAACCCAGAGATCATAATTTTGATGGTTTTCTTTTTTTCCTTTCGTGATCCTATAACAGTACTGCTGCACATACAAATCTAGTGTGGCCAAGGAAATCGAGCCATTTCGGGTAAGAACAATACAGAATCTCACAGAGAGTTTATTCAAAAGATAAGGTGATTTTGTGCTGGTGAATACTCGAGCAAATCTTTATCAGAATCCTTTTGAAGATGAACTGCAAAGATCATTACAGGGGTATCATTTACAATTGAGATTTTTAAAATAGTGATTATTTTTGTAATTGTAAAGAACAATAGGATATAGAAAGAAAGGGGGCATTGAGAGGTTAGGATATTTAATATTCTGATACAATATTAGTAAGTCAGATAACTTTTGAGAGCATCCATTTCTGGTTTCCTGGCTTTGTTTAATAAATTTTAATATTCCTTCCCACAAAGCCCATAGGAACCTACTTGTATGCACTGCCTTTATTTTACCCCAGTGAGCCAGTCTTTGACAAGTGAATTTGATGTTTCTCCGATGTTGTCTATACTTTGTCTTCCCACTGCATTGAAGTTCTCTGAAGAAAAGCATGACACTGGTAAATCTAAGATTGCATAAAAGACAAATCTAGCATTTCCTAACTGGAAGAAGGAAGTATATAGCCCCTCAAAGTCAAGACTCCCGAGTTTCATTTCTAGTTCTGCATCTTATTTGTAATCTGATTGGTGACTGCCCCTCTCAGTGTCTCAGTTTTTCCCATTGTAAGATAGGTAATTGTTTTGTTAAAGATCCGTTTGAGCAATGTAGCCAATGACATGAATTCAGTAAGTGAATCAGTGATTCACTGAGACAACACTCATTCATGTGAATATCCTTGCCAGGTGAGAGTTGTTGACAGAATTCATTCCACTGGCTAGGGTATCTCCTTTGAACTGCATAGATATTTTTAAAGAATTTTAAAGTTGTGATTAAGGACATTTAGATGCTCAGAAGAGAGATATTTTGAGGGGTTTGTTTTTGGTTTTTTTAGGTATTCAATTTCCCGAGATGTGAATCCCCTAAATGTATCCCTGAATTTGTTCCTAAATCTTTCTTAAACATATCCAGTCTACAAAAAGTCAATGCTATTTATGCTCAGTAAATCTCTGTTAGCCAATTCTAAAAAGAAACAACTTGAAATTATCTATTTTAAAAACAGAATGCTTGAAAAAAATCTTTCTTCTTCTACTTGCCAAGATCCCAAATTCAGGAATCTGGGTTTCCTTGGTAAGAACTGATAGCAGAGCAAACACTAAGGCAGAAATTTGCATCACTGTTGCGCAGGTGATGTCATCACCTGTTTCGGGGGACAGCACAGAAACTTCTGGTTTCTGGTCTCTAGTCCAACCATGTATGTGAAGAATTAACAGTTTCCAAGTGTTGGTTGAAACAGTTAAGGCAATGCAAAAAAGATCTGGCTGCCATTTGGTTATATTCAACAGCTTATGACGTATCAAAGTTTGCAAAAAGCAAAGAAACTTAGAGACCAAGATTAAAATGAATTCCCACCTCCTTTTCCCTCATTTCTCTGTATCAAGCTGAATAGCCTCTCCTGGCTGGTATGGTAGACCAGAATGCCTAGAAAGTGACAGGATCAGTGGAGATATACAATGTAATGTCTTTATTTTCCTTCCAAGTTAACATCATTAGTACCATGGGAAAATGGTAGTTGTCAGGTTACTTCTTACCTAAAATCAACTAAATGAAACTAGTCCAAAAAATGGAAGCAACAGATATGGGAATGATAATTTGACTAAGATGAGAAGTAACGAATAAAATGCGTTCCTATCTCTGTATGCATGTATATGCATGCAAGAGGGATTGCAGGAAGGAATTAGAGATACAGCCACTGACTGTTCCTACTGCCATCTCACACCCTCTTTGTCCTTGCAGTGCTTCTGGCACGCGCCGCGCGCCAGCGTTCGCCAGGCGTTACCTCGGTAGCCAAGCAAAGGACGCGGACTGGGACGCGGACGCGGACTGGGCGGTCTCAGCAGGTACCCCGTAGGGCCCACACTGGCATGGCGGGGCCGGTAAAACAGGTGTTAGAGAGGTGCGGGGTCTGCAGCTCGGTGCCCTTCTCTGTGCCAGGGCACAATATCTGCACCTCGTCTTGTCTGTGTACCTTCTCAGCCAAGGAACAACACCTGCCCCTCCCAAGAGCTGCCAGCTGTGCACAGCTGACTCGGCTCCATCCCCTAACCTCTCCCCCCCAAATCCCCAGATACACAGGTGTCCATGATGGAATTCAGTCCTCCCATACAAAGCCTGCTTACCCCCCGACTTCATCTTCCTCTCCCACAAACCACCCCATTATCGAGTTGCATAGGCCTTGACAGTTCAGAAATCCCTCAGGAGGCATTGAGGTTGGAGCTCAGTGAGCAGGCACATAGGAAGGCTCAGGGTCTGCCTTGGAGGCTCTTCCTGGTGCTATGAGAATCCCTGGGGAGCTTACCACTTGTCCATTTACTCATCTGTAATAGGAGTGGGATAATCCTTCAGAGTGGTGATGAGGAAATGAAGACCAAAACAAAACAAAACACAAAACCCTGTCCTTCCAGCACTGTTAACCCATGAAGCCCATTGCTGAAGGGTCAGGGTTAGTATCAGCTGGCTAGCTGGGACCAGGACAGAGCTCTTGCAGATGACACCTGCCACCCTTCAGAACAGGCTTTTGGCTGCTGGGGGGACCCAAAGACATGGAAGACAAGGCAGTCCTCAAGCTTACCATCTGTGGGGAGAAGACAAATTCCTGCTTGTGAAGCAACCTGAGAATAATCACAAGCACAGTGTCCAAAGCCCAGATTCTAGAAAGATAGGCTAAGGGGCAGATCCAGAATGGAGGCAGCAGAGAGTGGAGCCTCCACTTCCTCAGGGAAGCCTCCTGCAGGATCCTCTGGAAAGACGACTTGCTGCTCAGGATGAACCAATGCTGAGATCAGGCATGAGACTGCTGGGCCTGGCCCTGCTAGGCAGCCATCATCAATGTGCTTTGGAGCCACTTCACACACACTTTAGGAGAGTGCCTCTCTGTGCCAGCCCAGCTAACCTTTTGGAGAAATTAGTCTGGGGCTTTTGGTCCCTGTCCTTCAAGGGCACCCCCTTAACACCCTTCTCAGGGTCTGCCAGAAAATAGCATCGTCACTCAGGCAGTAAGCACTGCTTCTCATTCGTTTTTCCTTCTTTGGGAATCTCTAGAATTCCCTTGGAAGATGTCTCGGCGCAGTGAGCGCCTGCGCCTCCGGTACCACCTACACGTTGATGGAGATGGCGGCGGCAGCAGCACCAGCAGCAGTGGCTGCAGTTCCCCTGTGGTCGGCCAGCACATTCAATGCAATGACAGTTCCCTCAGGTAAGAGGAGCCAGAGCAAGGCTAAGCCACCTTCACCATCACAACTGCCCATGGCAGCCAAGGCCCTCAGCTGTTGCCATGTGCATATTGCTTTCCTGCCCCCATTTTTGGTGGAGACATCACTCTATTGCTTTCTTTCCTCACAAAGGTGAGAATTCCCTGTCCCCAGCACCATCTCTCCCTCCTCTACCCCAATCTGGCCTACTGCTGCCTTCACTGTCTGAGAACAGGAAATAGGGCGGGGCAACTTTGAGCATGGCAAAGGCCAGGTCCCCTGACACCTCAAGCTGGGTAGGGAACAACCCCTCTCAGCCACGGAACTCTTTTTCCTAGCCCCAGTGCACGTGGTTATTAGAGTGAGTTTCAGGGCCCAGCAACAGCGCAGGAAGCTACTTGGGTCAAGGGCCTGTGGGGGATGAGACAGCTTCAGGTGGCTCTTCGCTTTTCTCATACCTCATCATGGTAGTTTAATTTGGAAAGAGGTGCTCCCTGGCCCATGGGAGCTGTGCCTTGGTTCAATCCTGCCTCTGCTGTGAAAGATCATTCATCTGTTTAAGGAATAAGAACAGGAAGAGAGGCCTTTCGGTATCATTTTTTTCCAACCTCAAAGTCTCCAGCCAAGTCTCATTCCCCTCCCTTTCTTTTTCACCCTTGCTTTCTTCCACTCTCCTATCTTTGCTCTTCATACCTGCTGTTCCCCAGGACTCGGAGGAGGAAGTCAAGTAGGGTCAAAGGCCTCTCACCATCCCCTCTCCTGGCCACAATCACCTGCAGCACCCCTGGATCCTCCTCAGGATATAGGTCTGAGGATGACTGTGCAGGTAGGCATCACTTCTCCTCCCTAGAGCCCCATCCCCCAGGCACTGCCCCACTGACTTCAGAGGGTGACCCGTAGCTGGGGGCGGGGAAGAGAGCTTGCAGTCTGGCTCTCGATGAGGGTTTGCAGGGTGGGAGTGCTCAAGCCCTCAAGCCTGGTAAGGGGGATGCTCCAGGTCCACTTGTCTCTCCTTCTGGTGAATCCTCATTTCTTCCCTTCCTTGCAGGGCACTCGCTTTTGGACCAGCCTGGCTCTGCATCCAACCTAAAGAACAGGGCTTCCCCAGGTGGCCCTTCCTTCTGGATGGCCATCCACTTCTCAGGTGGGTTCTGCCAGTGGGTGGGCACAGTGCCCAGGGTAGTTCCTGCAGTGCACCTAGAAGAGATTCCTCATTCCTATGTAGGGACATGCTGGGCCCGGCTAGAGTAACTCTAGGACAGCGTGTAGAGATGGGCTGAAGAGAGAAAGATCCCCAAGCACAGCTACAGAGCCCTGGGAGGATGCGAGACCAGAATAGCAAGAAGCGGCTTCAGAGCTGGCAGGCTGGGAAGGGGCTAGCTCTGGGACATGATGGGCTTGCAGGGTGAAGCCTTTCAATCTCTCTGCTGGGACTTTTGCAGGTTGGCTCTTTGGCCTGCTCCGCTGGTGCCTTCATAACACCTGGTACCGCCTGACCACAGCTGTCTCCCTGCAGGACATCTATGTTTTCACCAGGTCAGTGAGGACTACCTGGGGCCTGCCAGAATCAAAGATCCACAGCTCCCAAGGACTCCACAGTCCCTCAGATCAATTTCCCCATGTGCTTTGTCCTGTTCTTTTCCAGCTTTTTCAGACTTTTATGCCATGAATCTTATGACAGGGTCAGGTAGGGTCAGGGGTGTGCTGGAACCAGCTGGAAACTACTTGTCAAAGTCAGCTACCATTCAGGCCCTGATTGAGTGTCTCCACTGAAGAAGATGATGGCAAAAGTGGGTTGCGTGTGCCTTGCCCTCCTCCAGAGCTGGTTGTTCGGCATTCACCGGCACAGGCCAGCCCCCATTACCCTTGGTTCTTCAGGGAAGTGGGTTGGCTCTCACTATCGGGGGGATTGTCTTCCTGAGTTTCTTTTAGGAGACCTCTCCTCAGTAGTTCCTACCTCTGATCACAACTGACTCTGGTGAGTTCACCTTTGCCAGTCGGCAGGTCCTGAGTTGCCAGGGACACTCCCTACTTTGGGTTTGAATCCAGAATTTTCTGCCCAGACCTCCAGGTGGCCAGGTCATTCTAGCAGTTTCTCTGTGGAGGAGCATGCCTAGGATTCTAGGCTGCCTCCAGGGCTGAGTCCAGGAACCTCTAGAGCAGGGGTGGGTATCTTGCGGCCTCCAGGCCACATGTGGCCTCCTAGGTCCTTGGGGGAGGCCTTTGGACTGAGTTCAAATTCTATGGAACAAATCCTTTTCTGAAGGGGATTGATTCTGTGAACCATGGCCACACTGGAGGACCTCGAGGGACACATATGTCCTTGAGGCCTCCAGGTTAGCCACCCCAGCTCTGGATTCCTGGGGCCACAGGCTGGGCCAATGGTGACAATCCCACTTTAGCAGCAGTTCTTCCTGCAGCTCTTCCAAGTCCCAATTGACAAGAACTGGAAGGATTTAGAAACAAGAAGACGGCCTAATTGAAGGACACATCTGCCACCTGACCTCACAAAGGGCAGCATGTCACCTATCCTAACAACATGAATACATTTCACAAAGGCCAACTTTACTACTCGCACTTTACCCTGAGGGCTGTCCATTAAACCCCAGGTCTCCACATGTTCAGTGCCCAGTGGCAGGGGGTGAGTGGGGGGGCACACACTTTGGGGTTTCATTTGCCACGCAGAGAGGGTCTCACCAGATCCTGTGATGGGGAAGGGCAGACCTTAACATCTCCTCCTTCATCTCCATGAAATCCAGGAGCTTTTCCACTGGGAAGAAGTTGCTCCTCTCTGTCTTGGGCATGCTGTTTCTTGTGGCTTTGCTGGATTATGGTGAGCATTGTTGAGTCCCCAGGGCAGCTGGGGTGGGCAGTTGGGGTAGGGGGAACAGACAAGGGCTTGGGGACACGGCAGCTAGAGGACAGTTTGGAAGACAGAGCTTTGAAGGGGAGCCTTTAGGGAGCCAAAGGGACAAAATCACCAACAAAAGGCAACCAGGTCACGGACGGACACGTTCTCGTGCCTAAAGGGTGAGAATTATGCCTTGTCTCTCATTCTCCTCTCCATTCAGCCCAACACACTTTGATTGTGCATTTTCTGTATGCAGGCCTCAGAGCCTCAGGCTGCAGGGTATGGGTGGTTGTCCTGCCCACTTTGAGCATGACCCGCACTTGGAGCAAGGAGGTGTTTTATCTGTGCCCTCCGTGGTCACAGACAAGGTACTGGAGGGTGGGTGATTGGTAGAGGAGCTGACTTAGGAAGGAATCGGTTATGAGGGCAGGACATACCCAATGCCAGGTCTGGAGGGCTTCGTCCCTTTTCTTTGGTGAGAACACACAGGGTGGTCCTCCCGGGATGATCCCAGAAGGCCTGGACTCTTGGTCAGGAGCCACGCCATTCCTCAGCCCATACTGTGAGATAAAGTCCACCTCAGAAATGATGACACCACAAGCTGAAGGTCACCAAGGTCTGTCTGCAGGCAACCTGTCTGTAGAGCATCCTGCTCGTCATTCAGAAGGGACGGAGCTCTGTGTTGACCAGGCTTGGGACCAGGAGGCATGACTTCTGGCTTCAGGCTTCATGTCCTCTCCCCAGCTTATTCTTATCCCTCATTTTTGCCATCATCCAAATGTGTCTAATGACTTCTGAGAGGATCATGAGAGAGTGAACTCTTGGGGTAGAAGGGGCTCTAGCTGTAGCCTTCCAGATCATGATGCCCCTCATGCATCTGCCTCCTTTGGGCTGCGGTCTATGCCCCCTTTGATGTGACACTGCCAGTGTCAGTCCGCAGGAGTTCCGTTCTGGCTCTTGAGACTCAGTCTCAGATTAGCCTTTCCTCCCATGTGCTAGGTGCTTGGTATTTCTACCCCTCTGGACTCCGGACCTTCCACCCTGCTATGCTCTCCTGGTTGGCAGCAAAGGGTAGCAGCAGGAGACAGGACGTGTGCGAATCAGGAGAATTCACCCCAGATTTCCAGGTGAGCACCCCACTGAGTGCCAGGAAAGCTTTGCACAGGACACACAGACGACTCATGCACCATCCAGTTCCTGTCTCTTAAGCTAGGGTTACTCAGCCAAGCAGCACTTATGAAGCATGACCTACTGTGGGTCAGGCACTGTCCCAAGGCAAAAACCAAACCAACAACCCCACAGTCCTTGCCCATGAGGAGCTGGCAGTCTCCTCATGAGGAGACATCTAGGTGCCAAGGAGACCTGACAGGACAAATGGGAGTGAAGCATTAGAGGGTGTTGGCTCTGCTGTTTCTTGTAGGGCAGCCATAAAGCCTATTGCTATGCCCTCCTTGAAGGCAACCCTGGTTTGGCAGGATCTGCCAGCTGGTGTCCTCTGCTGCCACTGTCTTTGGGACCCCAGGGTCAGCTCTGCGGGCATCAGAAGAGGGAGAAGTCACATTAGCTAGAGAAAGATGCTTCTGTTTTCATTCTTTTAATGAACAAGAATCTATTTTCTTTTCTTCTCGCCTCCTATCCATTTGAAAAACGGAAAAACAAACCACTTCTTACAAACATACAGAGACAAGCAAAACAGTTCCTCCTGGGCCATGTCTAAAAGATGTATTTCTCCTTCTGCCTTGGTCCATCCCCTCTCTGTCAGAAGTTGCATCATTTGCCAGAAGAGTAGCTGGTCACTGCCTTCAACAGAGTTCTGCACTCTTTCACAGTGGTTTGTCTTTGTGCTTCTGCTCACTCTTCTGCACATCAGTTCATGCAAGTCTTCCCAGCTTTCTCTGAACACCACCCCTTTCATCATCTCTAAGAGTATGGTAGATTCAGTCCCTACTCCATAATTTCTTTTTTTCCAACTCCATCATTTGTTCAGCTCTTGCCAAGTGCGGGGTTTCCAGTTTTTTGTCACAGCAAGAAAAATTGGCCTCAATATTCCTGTCCAGATCGGACTTTTTCCTCTTTGTTTGATCTCTTTGGGGAATAGGCCCAGGAGTTGTCTTGCCAGGTGAGTGGGTAGACATGTTTTATTATCTCGGGGGCAAGGCTCCTAACTGCTTTCCAGAATGGCTGGACTAGTTTCCAGTTTCTACTTAGAGCACTGTTGAGTCGTGTCTGGTGAGGTGCACTCTTCGCCGCCCCATTTGGGAATTTTCTTGGCAAAGATCCTGGAGTGGTTTGCCATTTCCGTCTCCAGATGATTTTTAAAGTGAGGAAATGGGGGCAAACAGGGCGAATTATCTTACCCAGGATCACACAGCAACTAACTATCTGAGACCAAGCCTAGAGTTCTACGCACTCTCGCGCCCCCTAGCGTCCCTAGTCCAACACTAATGTGCCTGACTTCGCCCAGCCTGCTCAACTTAGGGCATTTTGCCTGATTGTCCTCTTTGCCAACCTGACAGGTAGGGGGTAGAACCTTAGACTTGCCTTCATGGGCATTTCTCTACTTCTCCGTGATTCGGAGCATTTGTTTCATTTGATCATTGATCCCTTGCATTTCTTCTTTGGAAAAATGCCTGTTCATATCCTTTGACTGTCTACTGGAGAAAGCACCACAGACACGAGGGGGGGAAAGCCAGCAGGTCATTTTCTCTGATTTTCTTTTCCTTTCCAGTAGAATTGACGTCAGCTTTCCTGGGTTTATGTTTTTGTATAAGCCGCACAAAATTTGATTTTGGTCACACTTCCAAGCATTATTTCTCCTTCTCCTCCTTTTCCTCCTCCTCCTCCTCCTCCTCCTCCTCCTCCTCCTCCTCCTCCTCCTCCTCCTCCTCTCTCTCTTCTTCTCTTCTTCTTACAAATACGCAATTAATTAAGTGATAGTTTTTAAGATTCACTTCCATAAGACTTTGAGTTTTAAATTGTCACCCCCTCCATCTCCCCTCCTCCCAAGATAGCGTGCAACCTGATATAGGCTCTCCTTCTACATTCAGGTTAAGTATATATTCCCATTAGTCATGATGTAAAGTAGAAGTAGAACTAATGCGAGGAACCATGAGAATGAAGCAATAAAACAAAACCACAAAGGAAAAGGAGATCAAATAGTATGCTTCCATCTGCATTCAGGCTCCATTGTTCTTTCTCTGCATGTGGATAGCCTGTTCCATCACGAGTCTTTTGGAGTTGTCTTTTTACATCCTTGCATTGCTGAGAAGAGCCAAGTCTATCAAAGTCAGTCATCACACAGTGTGGCTGTCAATGTGTACAGTAGTTTCCTGGGTCTGCTCATTTCCCTCAGCATCAGTTCATATCAATCTTTCTAGGTTTTTCTGAAGTCCACCAGCTCATCATTTCTTACAGCACAATAGGATTCCACCACATTCACATACCACAACTTGTTCAGCCATTCCCCAATTGATGGACATCCCCTCAATTTCCAATTGTCCTCCACTACAAGAGGAGAGACTAATAGTTTTCTACATGTGGGTCTCTTTCCCATTTTTTTGACCTCTTTGGGAAACAGAACTAGAAGTGCTATCACTGGGTCAAAAGGTAGGCACAAGTTCTGAGCCCTTTGCACATACTTCCAAATTGCTCTCCAGAAGGCTGGATCAGGTCACAACTCTACTGACAATGCATTAGTGTTCCAATTTTCCCACATTTTCTCCAACATTGACCATCATCCTGTTTTGTCACATTAGCCAATGTGATAAGTGTGATGTGATACCTCAGAGTCCTGTTGACTTGCATGTTTCTAATCAGAAGAGATTTAGAACATTTTTTCACATGGCTCTAGATAGCTTGAATTTCTTCCTCTGATTACTGCCTGTTCATATCCTTTGCCCATTTATCAATTGCGGAATGACTTCTATTCTTATCATTTTGACCCCAGTCTCTACATATTTTAGAAATGAGGCCTTTATCAGAGACCCTTGTTGTAAAACTTCTTTCCTGGTTTTCTGTTTCCCTCCTCATCTTGGATGCATTGGCTTTGTTTCTGCAAAAAACTTGTCCATTCAATGTAAGCAAAATTATCCATTTGGCATTACATACAATGTTCTCTATCTCTTCTTGGGTCATAAATTCTTCCCTTCTCCATAGATCTGAAAGGTAAACTATTCCTTACTCTCTTTGTTTGCTTATGGTCTCATTTTTTATATTTAAATTCTGCCCCCATTTGGACTTTATCTTGGTATAGGATGTAAAATGTAAAAGGGTGGTCTCAGCCCAGTTTCTGCCCTACTCTTTTCCAGTTTTCCCAGCAGGTTTTGGTAAATAGGGATTTCTTATCCCAAAAGCTGGAGTCTTTGGATTTCTCAAAGAGTCGATTAGTATAGTCAATTGACCATTGTGTCTTGCCTACCTAAACTATTCCACTGATCCGCCACTCTGTTTCTTAGCCAGTACCAAGTAGTTTTGATGCTTGCTGCTTGATGATACAATTGAAGAGCTGGTAGAGCTGGGCCACCTTCCCTTGCATTTCTTTTCATTAGTTCCCTCGCTACTCAGTACCTTGTCTTCTTCCAGATGAATTTTGTGTTTGTTTTTTCCAGCTCTATAAAATAATTGTTGGTAGTTTGTTTGATATCACACTGAAGAAGTCCATTAATTTAGGTAGAATTGTCTTTTTTTACCAGCTGAGCTCGGCTTAACCATGACCAACTCCTACTTTTCTGATTGTTTACACTTGACTTTATTTGTCTGAAAAGTGTTTTGTAATTAGGCTCATAGAGTTCCCTGGTTTTGTTTTGGCAGGTAGACTCTGAAATATTTTCTGGTGTCTACAGTAATTTGAAATGGAATTTCACTTTCTGTCTCTTCCTGTTGGGCTCTGTTAGTAATACATGAAAAGATGAGGGAGGAATAAGACTGTCCATATGACTTCAGAGCTGAGTTGGAAACTTTCCTCAGGGGACTAACAAGTGACCTCACCACTCTGGGGACAGTGGTTTGTGCCTCATCCCAGCTGACCTTGGAGGCCTATTCTTGGTGGGAGGGTAGAAGGGGAGCCCAGGCTCTGAAAAGTCTAGCTGGGACTTAAGGTCAAGATTTCTGGAGCCCAGCAGTTTGTAGCGACTCATTTGCTCCTCAGCAGAGACAGGGCCCAGCCGTAGGAGGCCACGAAGCCCCAGAGTGCAGCGCTGATGTTTTCATCAGTTTCATCATGTCTTCTTTTTCCTTACAGGAGCTGGAAAGCGGGGTGCTCCAGCACATGTCTGAGTGGCAAGGGTAAGGCCCCAAACTGACTGAGAAAGAGAAGAGGAGGGCAGGAGGGCAAGAAAGCTACACCAGGGAAACCAGTTGCCTGGGGGGTTGAGGAGGGCAGGTCAGTGGAGCCAGAACACTTGGGTTAGCATGTCCATAGGCTTGATCCCATCTAGGAGGGACCTCAGAGTGCAGATGAGGTTACTGTGGCCCCAGAGGGAAATGACCTAGCCAGGGTCCCCCAGGGAGCAGATGTCAGTGAAGCCTTGCAGCCAGTTCTGTGGCTCTGTGCTTTCCATTGGGTGGTGCTTTTCTTCAGGTGACACTTGTTCTGTTGGAGTCCATCCTCCAAGTGCCTATGCCAAGGTTGATCCTGAGTTTTCCTTTTGTCACTGGCTAGTTTGTCCCAGGAAGACTCCCAGGACAAAAGGCCAAAGGAGATGGCTTCCCTGGAGGCCCAGCTGGCTGGCCTGAGGCAGGAGCTGGCGGCCATCAGCCAGAGACAGGCTGCAATGGCCCAAGAAATCCACCTTTGGCGAGAAAAGATGGTGGCCCTGCGCAGTGATGTGAGTCCTCCAGTCCCCTGGTTAAGCAATGCATGCCCCTTGATCTCAGGTGGGCTGCTGCTGCCCGGATAGCTGCCCAGGGAGCTGCAACCATCTGAGGTTTCCACAGGGCACTTGCTAAAGATTGAGCCTCTTGGGGGGACATTGTGACATGGACGAGATTTTCCTCATCTGTCAAGTGGGATAATATCAGGTCCCAATGAGATCTTTTCTGCAAACCTGAAAGGCAGTGGAGAAATGCCAGTCCTTTGGTTCACCACCATCCCTTCTCTGGCACCAGGCAGGCATGTGCTGGCCCTGACCTCTCAGATGTCTCTAGACATGCCAGGCCCTGTCCAGGCCCTCTTCCTTCCTCACCCCTGCTGTTTCTCGGGTGCCTGCTGAGCTGTTTCCTCTGGTGGCTTCTAGATGGAGTCTCACGTCCCAGCTTTAATCCAGGAATACTTTGTTGGAGACAAGGGCACTAAGGCCGGACTTACACAGCTAGAGGAGGTGCAGGCTCAGCTTTGGGACCTGGAGCAAAGACTCCTCAGGCATATGGCAGAGGAGCAGGACAAGACTGCCAGCAAAGTTGCTGCTGACTTGAGGCTGACCCTTCTGGAAGAAGGAGTGACCACGGGGGTGACAGAGGAGGTGAGCCTGGCCCCTCTGCCTGTCTCCTGCTTAGGGTCATGGTTTGCCCTGAGAGGAGCCTGCCAAGAGGAAGGGGGAAGCCCAGGCTGAGCAGGTAGCATGCTTGCCCATCCCCTACAGGGGCTGGGCGGAGCCTGCAGGTGGCCCAGCCCACAAGGGGTGCATGCCTGTCTTTTAGGAAGTGCGTGAGATCGTGCGGCAGGCCCTGAAACTGTATAGTGAAGATCGCATTGGGCTGGTGGATTATGCCTTGGAGTCCTCAGGTAGGTGACCTACAGAAAACCAGAGGGCTTTGGGACAAGAGGGAATGCAAAATCAGGATAGCCATTAGGAGACAGGAAGAAATGACAACTGGGGATGCCCTTCCTGGGCTGGGGCATTTAGGAGGGAAGATGCCCCCGTAGTGCCCTCTCTCCTTGAGGGTTACCCTAAGCCATCTCTGTGTCCTGCCAGCCCTTGGGTTGCCCCCTCCACCTTTTCTCTCTGTTGCTCTTTCAGGGGCCAGCATCCTCAGTAGCCACAGCTCAGAGACCTATGGCACCAGGACGGCCGTAATCAGTCTGTTTGGTATCCCCTTGTGGTATCATTTCCAGACCCAAAGAGCCATCATCCAGGTAGGGCTGAAGAAAGGTTCCCCAGCTTGGCTCTCTGCCTGCCATCTCCCCCCTCCTCTGTGGGGGCTGGGCCCTCAAAGCACAGGGGCCCCAGGATCTGCATCTGGCCCATGCGCCGCCACCTTTCACATGATTTGTCTTCCACCCACAGCCAAATGTCTACCCCGGCAACTGCTGGGCATTCCGGGGCCCCCAGGGCTTTGTTGGGGTTCGCTTGTCTGCCCGCATCCACCTCACTGCCGTCACTTTGGAGCACGTGCCCAGAGCCCTGTCCCCAGTCAGCAACATCACCAGCGCCCCCAAGGACTTCGTCATCTTGGTGAGTACCTGAGCCTGGCAGCTCTCCTTTCGCGAAGTATGGAAAGCCCTTTCTTCACAGCAGCAGCATTTCGAGGTGAAAAATGGAAGGATGTGCCCATTGTACAGAGGTGACATTTAAGGCTGGCCTCTTCACTCCTCGGGCCAGGCCTGTTGCTCCTCCTCCTCTTCTTAGGGAGGAGCCAGGAAAAGACAACCACAGCAGCAAGAACAGCGAAGATTGCAATGTGCCTTAGGGTCCTTTATTGTAGCCAGTTGCCTCCATGAGCAGGTGTCCCCTGGGCGACTTGGGCAGGGACGGGGATCGCCATTCCCTACAGAGTCACCTAGACAGGGCAGACATGGAACATCCACATAAGGAGGATTTGGGAGAAAAGATGGAGCCAGAAGAGAAGGTGAAATATGCAGAGGGACAGGGATACTTCAGGCCCCAAATCCTGATACAGATGAAGAAAGTGAGGCACACAAGCTGAAGGGGTTTCTCCCAAGCCCTTCAGCAGCTTTGGGGAAGAGGCTGAGAAGAAGGCCAAAGGGCTTGGAGCAGAAAGGCTCTGTCTATTGAATTAGTGAGAGAGATGCTAGAAGATGAGGGGATCGAGAAAGGCAACGTCAGGGTGGATTGTCTTTGCTTCTCTTTCCCCTCCCCAACATACCCCTCCTTGTCTGCCGCCTCCTCTCCCTGCCACCTCCCGCGTTTTTCCCTCCATGGGCTGATTTGGATTCTCGTCCTAATAGCACCTCTTTCCTGCACCCCACTGCGGCCATCCATTTGTCCATCCTTCCATTCCCCTTGTTTTTCCTTCTGTGCAGGGGCTCAATGAAGATTCCCAGGTGGAAGGGGTGGCCCTGGCGAAGTTCACCTATGATAATGCTGGGGAGGCCATTCAGACCTTCCACTTTCAGGTATGGAGGGCTCGTCCCACATCACTCACCCAGTGACCCAGGCATGCTGCTGACCTCAAGGGCTGGATCACCAGCCATGAGGACGCTGTGGCTCGGCAAGTGGCTGCAGTGGAAGCCAGGTCCCAACAGGTCTGAGAAGAAGCTGAGGGATAAGCTTAGGGCTCAATTCAGCCACTGCTCTTGGAAGGAAGCCTGGGGCAGAAAGCCTGTGGGGGCTGGGCATCCATGAAGGGATCTCGGGTCTCCCTCACCCCACTCTCCTCTTCCCACAGGGCAACGGCACAGCCCCATACCAGCTGGTACAGCTTCAAGTTTTGAGCAACTGGGGTCACCCGGACTATACTTGCATTTACCGCTTCCGGGTCCATGGCAAGCCTGCCAATTAGAACCTCCCTGCCGGGTCCCTTCACCCTTTCCTCTGTCAGCCACAAGCAAGCAGTTCTCCCACCTCCTCGTCCCTTCTGGCCACTGTGACTTCTGGGAAAGAGACAGAACGTGGGAGCCCACCTCCCTGGAGCCATCTTGCCCCACCAAGCCCTCTATGATATGGAGGAGACCACCAGCTGAGCAATTTCTGTTTCAATCCACAGCATCTGCAGTGTCAGGTGCCTCAGCTCCCTGCCAAGCCCTGCCTACCTCCAAGACGTGTAGAAAGAGCTCTGTAGTAGATGTTGGGGGGTGGTAGGGAGTAGTCAGGGCCTTGCTATGCTCAGCAGCAGTCCCACAGAAACACAGCTTACACCACCCTGGGTCTAGGGCAAGGAATTTGGTGCAGTAAGGGCATGATAAACTGGGCAGCGGCAAAGGGCAGACTGGGAGCCAGTCCCACATGGGCACACTCCAGCAGGGGGCTAATGCCGCTCTCCATGGGACCTTGCATGGTTCTCTTTACCACTGGCAATGATGGGTGCAGTCTTTGAAATCCGAAGAAGTACCTGGGAATGACCGCACCTGTCTGTGCTTTTGATTCGAACAAGGCCAATGGCCTGGATTTCAGGGAAGTTCTGCCCCCAGGATTACCTGCACTGGCATTTAGTACGGCAGCTGGGGATGTACCCATGGCTTGGTGGCCCCTCCTACCCACTGGGGCTTCCTTTAGAGAGGACTGGAAGGTTGCAGGTGTGTGGCAAAGGCAGTAGCATTACATACACAAGTCATCATGAATTAGCTACTGCTGAAAGGAAGCTGGGTCCAGAGTACAGCTACCAGCCATGGGGAGAAGAACTTCCCCTATGCCGCTGGTACGAGATTTCTCCTGCCTGCCCCTCGAGAGCCCAGAGACCCTCATTCTCCACTCTAGCCATGCTTTTATCCACCTCCTCACCTGGAGCTCAGTCACTGTGCTCTCTCCTTTGGGACCATCAGCTCCTGTGGTTGTGGCTATGGGAGGAAAGAGACTGGCCAGGATACTGTTGGGGATTGGTCTTTCCCTATCCCTGTCTAGTGCTGGCATTGAGCTGATGCTGTCCTCTATCCTTGAGGCAAACATGACATGCCTCAGGTGCCTCTGCAGGGAAACAGGGCATTGCAGGCTCATCAGTCTTTTACTCTCAGCTCGGATTCTAGTTCTTTTTCAGCCACATTAGCATATGGGGAGGTTGAATGGGATAGGGTTGGGGGAGGGGCTTGTTGAAGCTAAGTCTGGGATGGGGGAGGGAGGGAGGGGAAATGTTTTCGGCTTCCTGGCCAATTGTATTAAATATATTGAGATGTTTGTATTTCTATACAGATTTATTTCATGGTTCCTTTTCATCAGACAGAAAAGCTATGGGCTTCATTCCTGGGTGCCTCCCCAGGTCCCCAGAGTGATAGTCACTGCAGCCCCAGCTTGGGGGTGGGGGGCTGACCATGAAACATGGATGTCCACCGTAGTATTGCTGTGCTTTCTGCCTCTTACCATCAGGAGGGAAGGCAGCGGTTCACATCACAGGGCTAGCCACTGATTCCAGAAGCTACCAGGGGCAGCCCACTCTTCTGCATTTTCCACTCTTCAGGGGCAGCAGCAGTAGGTGTGAAGCTGCCCCTCATGCCCAGTCTGCTCGCTCAGCTTTTGTCACCACCCCAGGAAGTTAGGATATGAGCAGCCCCACATAGGAACTTACAGATAGCTTACCTCTTCCTCATCACAAAGACTGTTGAATTCTCTAGTTTTATTTAGTTATAGACATATGCTTATTTCATTCCCTAGTTTTATTTCTCTTGTTTAATTTTCTAGTTTTATTTAGTTATAGACATATTCTTATTTGGGCTTATGCAATAATCAATATTCTCTTGGATCCGTGGTTGCTTCTTAGCTACCCCACACAGGGAGGTTGTTCTTGAAATCACATGCCTGAGTAATAGGGAAAAAAGAGCCAGCATTGTGGTGGAAACCCTCTGTTCAAAGGGCAGCTGCCCTTCTGCTAAGTGAGCACTGGAGGGGAATGCCCTGAGCAGTAGAGGGAGCCAAGCTCAGGTGTGGGCTTGGAGAAACAGAGCTGAGAGAGGAGGCCAGAAGAGGCTCAAAGTGGTGGGGCATTTGCCCTAGGGCACAGGCAGCCACTAGCAAAGCCAGAATGGTAGAGCCTCTGCTGTATCAGCTTCTTGATTCCCAGAGAACAGCAGGCTGGTGGGGAATTGTGAGAAGACACAAAGTGACTTCCCAATGGGAATTCCCCATCACAAGGCTGGAATTTCACTGTCAGAGCATCCCCTCAGCACAGCCTGTTCCTTAGGCTGTTCCAAATAGTCTTCCTTCAGAGCAGCCCTGTGGCCAGCCTTGGGGTGACCACATGGTCCCCAGAGATGTCTATAGGACAGAGGCACTCAGGCAGAAGGAATTCCATGGATAGCAAAAGAGAAATGCAAAGAGGCCTTCAGGAGGCTCTGCTTTTTCTTTCACCCTATCTAGAGGGGGCACAAAGAGGAGTTCGGTGCCCCAAGGTCCCCCCAGCACTCTACAAAGGTTTTCCGTCAAAATCTCTCAAAACTGCCAACCCACATGAAAAGATTGCTTCAGGCCTTTCAGACACTCCATCTGATGTCAACTCTGAATGAATTAGGGGTCAATGCAGTGCTTTGGGCTGAGAGGTGGAGGTTAGGGAAAATGCTCTCTTCCTTTCCCTGCTAATTTCACTTGACCCCTTAACTGTTTCCAAATCCACCTGTCATCTGTCACTCAGTCTGAGGCTTTGCAAAGCCCACTCTGCAGCATTTCTCTGATCGAAGCAAAGACTAGCTAATCACAAGGCTCGGTCCCGTCTATCAAATGGCATAATATGAGGTCCCAGAGGATCCCATGAGATCCTTCTTGCAGACCTCAAAAGCAGGGGAGAAATGCCAGTCACTTGGTTCACAACTATCCCTTCCCTGGCATCAGGCAGGCACGTGCTGGCCCTCAGAGTGTCTCTAGACACTCCAGGCCTCCTGTCCAGGCCCTCTTCCTTTCTCATCCCTGCTGTTTCTCGGGTGTTTGCTGAGCTCTTTCCTCTGGTGGCTTCTACGTGGAGTCGAAGGCCCCTGCCTGCATCCAGCAATTGCTTCTTGGTGACAAAAGTGCTCAGGCTGGGCTCCTACAGCTAGAGGAGGTGCAGGCCCAGCTTGGAGACCTGCAGCACAGAATCCTGACTCATGTGGCAGAAGAGCAGGACAAGTCTGCAGCAAAGCTGCTGCCAGCTGAGGCTGATCCTTCTCAAGGCCGGAGTGACCACTGGGGTGACAGAGGAGGGGAGGCCTGCCTCACTGCCTGTCCTCCTAGCTGAGCTCACAGGGTTGCCCTGAGAGGAGCCTGCCAGGAGAGAGGGAGAAGCACTGGCCAAGGAGGCAGCACCCCTGCCTGTCACCTACCTGGGCTGGGCCCGTCCTGCAGGAGGCCTGGCCCACAAGTGCATATCTGTCTTCTCAGAAGTACACCAGATCATGCAGCTAGCCCTGAACCACTACAGTAAAGACTGTGAGAAAGAATACTATCAGAAGAAAACAAACCAACCAACCTAGCATCATGCATCCTAGGGAAGCCATTACCAGGGGAATGTGGCCACTCCTGTGGCACCTGACCTTCTGTTACTGGAACCCTCAAGGTTGCTAGTACAGTCTGCTGGAACATACCAAGGACACGAGGTTCTGCCAAGCCAGGCAGCCAAGCCAGAGCCTTGAAGGATGATGGCATCTGTCACCACATGCTGCTAGAAAGGCAGGATTTCCTTATTCCTTCCTGAGATTGTCCAGAATGAGCCCCACAACCCAGCCAGGCTTCCAGGGGGCTCAAGACCCTAGAACACACGCTCTGGCTGGCCCTGACTACACTGCCAATGACAAAAAGCTCCGTGGCCTTCCAGACTTCTCACTCCCTGGTCGAATAGGAGCTGCCTTGAGGCCCTGTACCTGGCATACACAGTCAGGGAGGACCATTCTCTGGACAGCCGAGCCTGGCCTGCCTTAGGAGGAGCCACAGCATCTGGATTTAGAAGGCTGGACAGCTGCACCTTGGGAAGTCATTTCACTGGCTGTGAGGAGACACCAAGAACCACCAATCATTTTGAAAAATGTCTCCTTTGAAGGTTAGTGATGGCTTCCAGACCCATTCTGCTGCAATACAATGTCCTGTTGGGTCTGGAGCCCATGGTGCTGCCTCAAAGAGGTGACATTTGGTGCCACGTTAAACATCCACTGTCATTCTCCCACCCCTTCAACCTGGGAATAATTACCAAGAAAGCTCCCCTGAGCCTAGCACAGAAAGACTCTTTTGCCTTCTTTTCCATTTCCCCTACAAGCTTATGAGTGAAAACAGTGCAAGCCATCTGTTCCATTTAAAACAAGAGGAAACTGAGGCTCTGAGGGGAGATGGCTTCCTCTCAGGTGTCTCCTAGTCCCAATGGGAGCAGCTGCATCTTCTTCTCTTCTTCTGTACCCACTCCATTCTCTTGATTCCCTCGTGATCAAAGTGACAAGAACAACTGGCCTACCATCCAAGAGATGGAGAGCAGAAGAGAGAAGAGCCAGTACGAATGGACACAAACAAACTCACTGCCCTCCCCCCCCCCCCCCCCCCACCAAGAGACAAAGGGCACTAAGGAGAGAAATTCCAATTCAAATGACCCGGAAGCTTCACCTCTTGCAAAGGCTCTGGCTGCCTGGACATAATCCAGGCCATGCTCACCCAGCTGGTACACAGTCCTGCTGTGGTGTGCAAACTATCCTTGGCCCCAAATAAGAGAGATGCAGAAACAATCCTCTTCAGAGGGCCACAGGAAGAGAGCAGCACACACACATGCTGTGGCTAGAACCAGGACCTGGTCCCTTCATTCGAAAAAGCAATTGGAAAATGCTGTTCATATATTTGCCCTTTGATGTTGAGATACCACTTTGATCCCAAGGAGGTCAAAGTCAAACTAAAGCATTTTAATTCTAATAAACAGAGCAGTACTTTTCAGCTAAAGCAAAAAAACAAACAAACCGGAAACCAAAGGAATGCCCATTGATTGGGGAATGGCTGAACAAGCTGTAATCTATAAATCTACTAGACTACATTATTCCCCAAATATGAGGAATATAAAGAAATTTGAAGAAATCTAAGGAGATTCTAACAGAAAGATACAAACAAAGAAAGCAGAACCAGAGAAGAGTAAACAAAAAAGAAAACAATGTCAAACATGACAGGAACAAAGACCAAAGGAGAGACCAATCCATGCTCTCAAGTACTGTTGGTGAACATTTCTCGCCCTCCTGGAAGAGACTAGGGGTTGGGGTGTGGAATGAGACATACAAAACGGGGTCTCTGTGTGGCTACAAATGTGCTCTGCTCTAGCAGGCACAGGGGATGAGGGAAAACAAGAGGCACAGCATAAAAGAATCCACAAAAGTGGTTTCTAGGGATGTGTGCCCACCAAGTAGACCACTGCTTCTTAGAAAGATAAGACAACAAAAGGGTCCCTGGTTGGGAAAAGCACATGGCACATTTTCTACCTCTTCTCCCATGTGCATCCCACGGAGCTCACTTGCATTCCTCCCATGGCAGACAAGGTTCTGCTTATGTCAGTCTGTGACTCCTACAAGTCTTCTCACACTCCTCCCATTCTTCCTGTCATTTTTCAAAGAATACTAAGGGCTGCCAGGGGGCGCCATAATGCACAGAGTACCTGGCCTCCAGTCAGAGAGAATCATATTAGCCCAGTTCAAAACTGGCCTCAAACACTATGGAAAATGACTCAACAACAACAATAAAGAAGAGTAACATTCACTTCCATTGCGGTACCACAATATGGCAAGACATTTGTAACAAGACATTTTACATAGCTCTGAAATACTAGGGCAACTTCAAACCAGCTCAACAGTTCTTTTCCAAAAGACTGATGGGAGCAAGGACATGAATGAGACACCCACCAGGTGGCTGTGCTCAGTGCCACGGGAGGGAGACCTGACATCCCCGAGAGCATGAATCCACAGAAAGCCCTACGACAAGCTGATGGCTCAGACAGGGTGAGCACTGGGACCCCCCACTGGACTCTCACGACCATATGTCCAATGCGAGGTTCTGGAGTTAGGGCACCATCGAATGAAGACAGGGCGCCTATAACTCTACAACAGGGCAAACGCTGAAAATGAACTTGTCCAAATGGGAATCTTCAAGACCAACAATATAATCGAATGACAATCAAGCAACAAGTATGTATTTAGCACCTGCTGTG